AATTCAGATGAGGCTGTAAATCATCACCTTGTTCAGTTTTTCGCAAATAAAGACAGATCCTTCTATGAACGAGGAATTATGAAGCTCACTGGAAGATGGCAAAAGGTTATCGAACAAAACAGGCAATATATCATTGATTGATCTTTGTTCTTTATATAAATAAATGACCTTTGAAAAACAGACAAAATACGTTATGACTTTTTTGACAACCCAGTAGACAATCAGTAATTATTTGAAGTAAATTAACTGATGAAAACCCATCAGGGAAATACTAAGCGGCCTAGTAGTCATACCTTGCCCCACCCCGTCATCCCCAAAATGGAGTATAGCGTCATTGTACTATTTGGGATAAAGTAAATGTTACTTAAATCCACTCTGACATTTCAGACTGCTTTAATATTGTTAGGAATCTAAGATATGCACTTATAATAAACTTTTAAATTCTTAGCAATATGTTTTTCTTTTCAATCACAGACTACAATTATTTGGGATGCACATACTGGTGAAGCCAAGCAACAGTTTCCTTTTCATTCAGGTAAATCTTCACAATTTACATGAGAACTGGAGAGCTTTCTTGTATTTTTCTAATTAAACTTTTAACAGCATATAATTCATTTAAAAACTTGAAATATCAGATACCAATCTTGTTACTAGTTCTTTGAGGGGTTGATGTTCCATGACTTTCAGATTGTTAATTGTCAAGAGGATCATCAAAAGTTTTCTGTGAAATATATCATAAAAACACATTTGAGGCCTGGGTGGTATTATGTAATGGCATTATTTAAAGAACATAGAATTTTGAATCAGGACACCTAGGTGTAAATGTCAGTTCCACCCCACTTTATAAGCTGAAAGACTTAGCAAGTCACTTAACCTTTCTAAGCCTCACTTTATTGTTCTGCAAATGAGGGATAATAATAATATCTATCTGTTAGGAGGAGAAGAAAGTAATGTACATGAAAATACTGTATAAACTCCTACAAATTTAGGTGTTGTTATAATTTCTCATTTTGCATTGATGTATCTAAATCAGTCCTCCTGTGTACATAAAATAAAAATTAGAGCTTTTCATTGTTTTTGGAACTTTGGTGCTATAGATGGGTTTCTCTTTAATGAAATAATTTGATACTTAAACCTGATCCCCAAAATAGTGTCCTCCATCCTCAATGATATATAGCCACAGACCACAGCGTACTACCTGATGAGTAGAAACAGCTGGATTTTAATACCTATGCTCCTTTGCAGCCTAGAACCTCTGTACCTGCTTTCAGGGAGTTTCCTGGTGACAGTAACTAAAGTTAAACTGGAACAAGATGCCTAATAACTATTGGATTGTCGGGAAAGTCATGACACATTTTTTGCAACGAAAAACAGAAAAAATGTGTCATGACTTTTCTGATGACCCAATATTAGAACAGTAGTTTTAGTACTACCTGATTTAACTGCTGCTTTCAAGATTATTTTGTGGTTCGAAAGAGTTTTTATTTGGAGACTGACTAAAGTAACTGGTTATTTTCAAATCTTTGCTAACAGCTTTTTCACAAACAGACAATGGCACAGCATCACTTTGAAAACTGAAACAGCTTCTGGCATGTTGCTTTTTTGTCTTGCTCTACATAGTGTGACTAAACAAGCTGAATAAAGTACGAAGTTATTTTTCTGTAGCATCTGAGTAACACACTTTTGCAAGCATTATGCGAAACAATTCAGCTTGATTAAAGCTTACCATGTTAGTAGGCATTTACACATCAGTTTTTATTTACCTTTGCTTCTAGTCTTCACCCAGATAGAATTCTCTTAGGTCTCTGGCTATTTCACCTAAAAGTTTCCCCTGCCTTCTAGAAGTGATGGAATACTGAAATAAGTATGTGTGTGGTACTTTTACTAGCTAGTATGTAATGTGTACCATCCTTGTGCTAGAGATGCTGCTCTTTGTATGCATGATCACATTTAGTCCTGGCTGCAACCTCATAGGAGACAGATGGTATTGAAGTCATTTTACAAGTAAATAAACTTTTTACCTGTGGTATTCTTTCTTGCCATCCTTTTTTGGTTTTTCAAACAGCTTTATTGAGGTATAATTGACATACAAATTAACTATACATATTTAAATTGTACAATTTGAAATGCTTTGATATATGTATATACCATTGAAACCATCACTACACTCAAGACAATGAATATATTAGTTTCAAAAGTTTCCTCCTGCCCCACTGTGATCTCTGCCTATCCCCAGGCAACCCCTGGTAGTCTGTTACCAGAAATTAGTTTGTTATGTTAAACAGAATCACACAGTATGTATTTTTTCACTCTGCATAATTTTGATTTTCTTTCAATTGATGAGTAGTATTCCATTAATGTAGATATACCAGAGTTTGTTTATCCATTCACCACCTACTGAAGCAATTTGGGTTTCCAGTTTTTTGCTTTTACAAAACAAAACTGCTGTCAGCATCATGTACAAGTCCTTATAGGGGCCTGTGCTTTCATTTCTCCCATGTACACACCTAGAAATGAGATGGCTAGATCATAACGGTAGGTGTATGTTTATCTTGTTAATCAATCGCCAAGCTGTTTCCTAGAGTTTATACAATATTTTCCAAACTGGTTTACATTCTCATCAGCAGTGGGTATTCTGGTTCTTCTGTATCCTTGCCAGCACTTGGTATGTGTTCAGTCTTTTTAATTGTAGCCACTCATAACGTGTGTAATGGTATCTCACTGTGGTTTTAATTTGCATTTCTTAATGACTAATGATGTTGAGCATCTTTTCATGTGCTTATTTCATCTTTATGTCTTTGTCTGTTTAAATCTTTGGACCTTTTATTTAACTTTGTTGTTTTCTTATTGAGTGCTTTGAGTTCTTTGTATATTCTGGATGCAAGTCTTACCAGGTATTTATAATATTGTCTTGCAGTCTGTGGCTTGTTTTTGCATTGTTTTGACAATGTCCTTTGAAGATCAGAAGTTGTTAATGTTGATGAATTCCATAATTCATTAATTTGTTCTTTTATGTAGCATGCTGTCAATGCCAGTCTAATTTGCTGTTTTTCTTTCTGCTTGATGTGGAAGTTGAGGTCACTAATTTGAGGCCTTTCTGCTTTTCTAATATGGATACTTAATCTTATAAATTTACTTCTAACTACTACTTTGTGACATCCCACAATTTTTTATAATGTGTTTTCATTCAGTTCAAAATACTTTCTACTTTTGATTTTTTTTTCTTTGACCTATAGGTTATTTAGAGTATGCTAATTTCTGAGTATTTGGGAATTTTCCAGAGATCTTTGTAATATTAATTTCTAATTTAATTCTCTTGTTCCTATAAATGTCATTTAAGTCAAGTATTTTGATAATGTTCAAATCTTTTATAGGCTTACTGATTTTTCTGTCTACTCATGTCATCTATTATTGAGAGAGGAGGTGTTGAAATCATCAACAATAATGGGAACACAATTTCTATTTCCTTTGACACTTTGTCAGTGTTTGCTTCGTGTGTTTTGAAGCAATTTTTTGGGGAACATGAACATTTAAGGATGTTGCATCCTCATCTTGAATTGACCTCTGTCAGTTTGTTCGTGACCCTCTGTTTTCAATTTAATTTTCTGTTCTCTGAGATCTACTTAATATAGCTCTTCCAGTTTCTTTTGATTAGTGTTTGCATGGTATATATTTTTCCATTCTTTTACTTTCAGTTTATTGATGTCTTTATATTTCAAATGTATTTTATATAGGCAGCATATGTTGCATGTTCATTTAGTATCAACCTCTGTCTTAAAATATTTAGGCCATTCACATTTAATGTGATCCTTGATATGGTTATATTTCTATTTCTTCCTTTTTTTCCTCTTTTTCTGCCTCCATTTGGATTAATTGAATATTTTTGTGATTACATTTTCCTTTTTTGGTGGGTTAACAACTTTTCATTTTAATGGTTACATTAAGATTTATAGTACATATCTTCAGTTTATCACCAGCTACCTTCAAGTGAGATTTTAAGGGGATTGATTAATTAAATAAGTTTAATATAAGAATGATATAGCTATCATTCCCAGTGCTCTTCATGTCTTTGCATAGGTACATATTTCCATTTGGTATCATTTCTTTTCTGCCTGAACTACTTCAGTATTTCTTAAAGGGCAAATCTAATGATGATGGAATTCTTGTAGATTTTGTATATCTGAATGAATCTTTATTTCACCTTCATTTTTGAAAGACATTTTTGTAGGATCTAGAATTCTGGGGTTGACAGGGTTTCTTTTTCTTTCAGTACTTTAAAGAAAATGTTGTATTTTTTTTTCATTTACATTATTTCCACTTTGAAATTGTTAACTATTTTCATCCTTATTCCTCTATGATTTGTCTTGTTTTCTCTGGTTGCTTTTAAAATTTTCTGCTTATCGCTAATTTTGGACAATTTGAATATGTCATGCCTTGGTAAAGTTTTCTTCATGCCTTGTCCTGGGATCTTCTTGGATCTGTTGGTTCATAGTTTTCTTCATAATGGTAAAAAGAAGTTTGACCATTATTTAAAAAAAATATTTCCCCCCCCTATTTTTTTTTACATTAGAGTCTGATTACCTGTTAGTCTGCTTGACATACTACAGTTCACTGGTGCTCTGTTCAGTTTTTTCAGTCTTTCTGTTTTTTTTAAATTTTGGATAGTTTCTATGCTGTTTTCAAGTTCACAAATATTTTCTTCTGCAGCATCTAAACTGCAGTTTATCCCATCCAGTGTATTTTTTCATCTCATGCTTCAGTTTTCATCGCTAGACATTGATTTAGGTCTTTTTTACATCTTTCATGTCACTGCTTAACTATTTGAAATTATGGCATAATCAGTTGACCCTTGAACAACACAAGTTTGAATTGTGTAAGTCCATTTATATGCAATTTTTTTTTAATAAATATACAGTTAGTCGTCTCTCTGTATTCCTGTATTTTGCATGTGTGGATTCAACGAACCTCAAATCAAAACAGTATTTTCTATCTGTGGTTGGGAATGCACAGATGTGGAGGACCAACTGTATTGATCTACACTATTTTATATAAGGAACTTAAGCCTCCACGGATTTTTATGTCCATGGGTTTCCTGGTACCAATCCCTAACAGATACAGAGGGATGACTGTAGCTAAGTTTTGGGGGAGTCAAAAGTATTCACAGATTTTTGACTGGGGGGGTTTGGAGGGGAGGTTTTCATTCCTAATCCCCGCATTGTTCAGTGGTCAACTGTAGTTTTAAGTGCTTTGATTTTTCTAACGCTAACATCTGTGTCTGTTCTGGGTCAGTTTTCATGATTTGGTTTTTCTCTTCATTTTGGTCATATTTTCCTGTATCTTTGCAAGTTACTTGTGAGTGGAAGTGAGACATTGTGAATTTTACCTTATCGGTTGCTGGATATTTTTGTATTGTTATAAATATTTGTGAAATTTGTTCTGGGACACAGTTAAGAAATGGTTTGATCCTTTTGGGTCTTTTAAGATTTGCTAAATGACAGTGAAGCAATGCTCAGTGTAGGGCTAATTACTTCCCAG